TTAGCAGAGGACAACCTGTGTAAGCAGAGGTTTTCAAACTTGGCTACTTCAAGACTTGTAGACTTCAACTCCCAGAAATCCCAAGACTGGCTGAGGAATTCTGGGAGTTGAAGTCCACAAGTCTTAAAGTGGCCAAGTTTGAAGACCCCTGCTGTATAATATTAGCATTCATAGTTCTGGTTTATAATATTAGCATTCATAGTTCTGGTTTCCTAGTTTGATATAGCTCAAAGGGCTTTCAGGAGTCCTGAAACTGTACTATGTTATTAAAAAAGCAGTAAAACACAGTACAGGTAGTCCCCAACTTATGACCACAATTGAGACCAATATTTCTTAGGTTGCTGCATGAATCATGCCCAATGTTATGACTTTTTCTTCCATGGTTGTTAAGTGAATCACTGCAGTTGCTAAGTGAGTCGTGTAGTTGACAAGTGAATCCAGCTTCCTTCATTGACTTTGCTTGTTAGAAGCCAGCTGGGAAGATCGCAAATGGAGATCACATGATCCCAGGGTGCTGCAAATGTCCTAAATACATGCCGATTCCTAAGCACCCAAATTTTGATCATGTGACCATAGAGACGCTGAGAGGGTCATAAGTGTGAGGACAAGTCAAAAGTCACTTTGTTCACTGCCATTGTGATTTGAATGGTCGTGAAATGAATAGTTGTAAGTCAAGGACTCCCTGTACTGGTGTTCTGGTTAATGAAAAATATTAATACAGGTAGTCCTCAACTTATGACCACAACAGAAGCCAAAATTTATGTTGCTAAGTGAGAAAATTGTTCAGTGAATTTTGCCCCATTTTACGACTCCTTTGCCACATTTGTTAAGCGAATCACTGCAGATGTTAAATTACTAACACGGTGGTTAAGTGAATCTGGCTTCCCCATGGACTTTCCTTGTCAGAAGGATGCAAAAGGTCACCACATGATCTGAGGACACTGCAACTGTCATAAATGTGAGTCAGTTGTCAAGCATCCAAATGTAAATCATGTGACCATGGGGTTATGCAATGGTCATAAGTGTGAAAAATGATCATAAGACTCTTTTTTCAGTGCCATTGTAAATTCGAATGGTCACTAAGTGAACTGTTGTAAGCTGAGGACTACCTGTAGTTAAGTAAGGTAAGGTGAAAACCTGCGGATTTTTTCCACTAGTCATAGCCAACTTTAGGGGGTGGTGCTTGCCTCCATTTCTAAGCCCTTCAGCCAGCACCGTCCAAAGATATTTCCGCAATCGTGTGGCCATCATGACATCACATAACTGCCAGAGCATAAAGCTCTATTACCTTCCCACCAAAGTGGTGCCTATTTATCTACTCGCATTTACATGCTTTTGAACTGCTGGTTGGCAGGACCTGGGGCAAAGGATGGGAGTTCACTCTGGCACACAGTGGTAGGATTCAAACTTATCTACTTGGACTACGGTAGTTAAATATCCATCCAAGCAAAATAGCTGTTTTGTGGTTCTGCTTCAAAACTCTGTTCCACAGTGCAAATTTGTCTTTTGGCAGGCCTAGGTTCAAAATTTAACCAATATTCTGGTTCATCTTGGTTCACAGGACCACAACTATTTTCCAGATTCCTACTCACCTCTCCTATCAGCCCCCTCCATTATACCTGTCCCCACCACACAGTTCTTTTGAGGGGTGTGAATATTTCTTTCTCAATATAGTTGGGTGTTCCTTAAGCCTATATGCTTGAATGCCATTTACTCGTTAATGACTACAGCCAAGTCATTAATGTATTACATTTCTGTAAGATATTAAATGAATGTGGAACATGAAATTTCGTGGTTAATCTAGGTCAAGAAAAAATAAAATGATGTTCCCTCCCCAAATCATTTTACAGCCTCCTTACTTGGTTTGTTTTGAACTTTGTTGTATGCCACCCAAAGATACTTGATGGTGAAATGGGTGACTATATGGTGGATAAATTAATTAAAAAATTAAAACTTGTTGAAGAAGTATGAAAGGTAAGTTTCTTTGGTGACTGTATTATTAAAATAGGTTTATCTGATGGAGTGAGTAGCAAACCAAATTATGAATGGATTAAGTTGGGACATTAACATATAGTTGTGTCAGAAACAAAATCTATTTTTCCTCTCAGTGATTACTGGGTGTTTTCGATAAGCATCAGACAAGATTTATGGATAAAAGCAGATAACTAATGCAAAGGTGTCAAAACCTGGAAAACTTCAAAAAGGGAAGAGGAAAAAACATCACAAATAAAATACAAAAAGGTGAGAACAGAAACAATAACTGAACATGTACAATATTTCTTTATTAGAGTTTCTGGACCAAAAAAGACAAATATTTAATTGATCGGCTGATCTATAGAGAAGAACCTTTTTCATCTAAGTCAGAGGTCTCCAATCTTGGCAACTGTAAAACCTCTGGATTTGAAGTCCACAAATCTTAAAGTTGCCAAGTTTGGACAGCCCTGATGTAAGTGATCTAAGTTTTAAAAGTCTGAGAAGAGTAAAAACTTTCCTACAATCAATTGGACTTGAATAGCCAGCCATTAAAATAAAATAAAAAATCAGATTTAGAATCTAAGAGTTCCATGTATATTTTTAAGCAAGAGAAACTGCAGCATATAGAAATCATATACAAGGGATCTTAGAATCTTACTGAACAATCACTTAAATATGAGCCAGCAATGTGCCGCAGCTGCCAAAAAGGCCAACACAGTGTTAGGCTGCATTAACAGAGGGATAGAATCAAAATCATGTGAAGTGTTAATACCACTCTACAATGCCTTTGTCATGGTTCCGACTAATGAAACACTTCAAAGAACTTCCAGACATGTTTATCCTAAAGCAGTGGTTCTCAACCTGTGGGTTGGGACCCCATTTGGGGTCGAACGACAATTTCACGGGGGTCACCAAACAACGCAGTCCGCCATTTTTTTTCCCTTTTCCTTAGCTGTGCTACTCCCTTTTATTCTATTGGCTTTTGAAAGCCAATAGAATAGACTCTCTTGAATAGAGTCTAATTCTATTGGCTTTCAAAAGCCAATAGGAATTGTCCAGGATGTCTCTGCCCTGCTGAGCCCACCAAAAGTCCCATTCTGCAAACGGTGCTGCACCAGTTGAGTAGTCCTCGACTTACGACCGGTTGAGTAGTCCTCGACTTACCACCGGTTGGGGGTCGCGGCATTAAAAAGGTTGAGAACCACTGTCCTAAAGCCTTTTATTGTTACAAAATGTCAGCACAGGCATAACCGAGGTTTTTGCCAGACAGTTCTGCATATTGTCAAAAGCAAGAATATACAATATTTGCAGCGTTGACAGCCCTGGTAAGACCACATTTGGAATACTGCATCCAGTTTTGGTCACCACAATGTAAAAAAGATGAGACTTTAGAAAGAATATAGAGAAGAGCAACAAAGTTGATTAGGGGACTGGAGGCTAAAACATACAGTATAGCAATAGCAATAGCGCTTAGACTTATATACCGCTTCATAGTGCTTTACCACCCTCTCTAAGTGGTTTACAGAGTCAGCATATTGCCCCCTAAAATCTGGGTCCTCATTTTACTGACCTTGGAAGGATGGAAAGCTTGAGCTGGTGAGGATCGAACTCCTGGCAGTGAGCAGAGTTAGCCTGCAATACTAACCACTGCGCCACCACAGCTCTTAAAACATATAAAGCAGAGGCCCCCACCTTTTGGGCACCAGGGACTGGTTCCACAGAGAGAGGTTTTTCTGCAGACTGGAGGGGGCGTGGTTTCCTGTACTGCCTGCATCCTGGGGATGGAGCTTTGCTTTTCTGTGCAGCCCAGTTTCTGGCATGCCGCCCAGTGCCGGTCCACGGACCAGGGGTTGGAGACCCCTGATATAAAGCATGGTTGCTGAAATTGGGTATGTTTAGTTTAATGAAAAGAAGAACTAGGGATGATAGCGGTGTTTCAATATCTAAGGGTCTGCCACAAAGAAAAGGGGAGTCAACCTATTCTCCAAGGCACCTGAGGGCAGGATAAGAAGCAATGGATAGAAACTAATCAAGGAGAGAAGCAACCTGGAACTAAGGAGAAACTTCCTGACAGTGAGAACAATTAACCAGTGGAACAACCTGCCTCCAGAAGCAGTGAATGCTCCAACACTGGAAGTTTTTAAGAAGAGACTGGACAGGTGGCGCAGCAGTTAGAGTGCAGTACTGCAGGCCACTTTAGCTGACTGTGTTCAGCAGGTCAGCGGTTCAAATCTCACCAGCTCAAGGGTGACTCAACCTTTCATCCTTCCGGGGTAGGTAAAATGAGGACTCAGATTGTTGGGGGCAATGTAAATATATATATACATTGCTTACTGGTGTACACCACTTAGAGAATGCTTGCACTTAAAGCGGTATATAAGTCTCATACATAAATAAATAAATAAATAAATCATTTGTCTGAAATGGTACAGGGTTTTCTGCTGAGCAGGAGGTTAGACTTGAAGATCTCCAATGTCCCTTCCAACTCCGTTATTCTGTTATTCTATTATCAGTATTAGTTAAAAAAATGGGGGGAAATCAACAGAAGCAGCAATCTTCATATTTAAATTTTTTACAAATGCTTGATATAAGTGGCTCTCTTAATGTTAGATGATTATTAAATTGAATAAGATAATTAATTCTTTGTTTTTTCAGTTATGGAAGAGAAAGAGAAAGAGAGATTATAGATATAGAGAACTAAAAAGCCCCATAAACATTTTTTATATAAAGTACATTAAATAATCAAAGTTGTGGTTATTTTCTTTAAACACTTCCTTCCTTACTTGACACATAGCCTTTTTTTAACAAATTTTATTGTTTTTTTAACTTTTATAACAGAATGCTCTTTCATATTCTTATTCTCATTCCATTACAAAATAATTTTCATACAAATAAACATATTATTCCAAAAAGTATATTCTTACTCTGTTTAACATATATATTCTAATAATCACAAATTTTCAACTCTAAATCTTAGACCTTAAAACTTGACACATAGCTTTTAAACACTTCTAACTACAGTACAGTACCAATTTCTCTAAAAAAATTAATTAATTAAACATAATAGAGGCAGGTTAAATGTCTATAAATAAAATAAAATAAAATATAAAATAAAATATTGCAATAGATTTATGTTCCCTAATTTTGGGTATACCACATATGCATTTGTATGTATCTGTCTACAGAAGAAAATGGAAAAAAAAAAAACCCTACCAGATTTGAATACTGGAATGTAATCAGATGTTGTAACTGTCTTACGATCTGTGCATGCAAATATATGTAACAAACAAACAAAATTAACATTGCTCCAATTCATTTGTATCTTGTTAATAAAGGAGAAAATCCTAAAAGCTTATGTACCAATATTTATTTAATTTATTAATTAATCAAATTTAGGCACCACCCATCTCACTATTTAAGCAACTCTGGGTGCTTTACAGGTAAAACTCATAAAACTGTGTAAAAAAGATACAATTAAAATGGAATTAAAACAGGGCAAGAAACAAAGAAAAAATAAAGATAAAAGAGAAGCTAAAAGGCAGAGGGAGAACCCTCAAAGCACCAACCACTCCCAAGGTGACATGATGCTCTTTGATCCCCACGCAAATTGGCAGAGCCTGGTCTTCACGCTCTTCCAGAAGGCAAGGAAAGTGGGGGCCAACCTCACCCCTGGCGGGAGGCTGTTCCATAGGGTGGAGGCAACCACACACCATGACAAAGTCTAAAAAAAAAAATGGTTTGTCTAGTATACTAAATACAGTTTTGATCAACACTCAAAACAAGATGTAATAAAATTTGAGGAAAATACAGGTGGTCCTCGACTTACAATCACAGCTGAGTCCAAAATTTTTGTTGCTAAGGGAAACAGTTGTTAAGTGAATTTTGCCCCATTTTATGACCTTTCTTGCCACAGTTGTTAAGGGAATCCCTGCAGTTGTTAAGTTAGTAACAGAGTTGTTAAGTGAATTTAGCTTCCCCACTGACATGGCTTATCAGAAAGGGCATCACATCACCCCAGGACATCAGAAATATGAGTCAGTTACCATGGGGATGCTGCAATGGATCGTAAGTGTGAAAAACAATCACTTTTTTCAGGGCTATTGTAACTTTGAACGGTCAGTAAATGAACTGTCATAAGTCAAGAACTTCCTACATAGAGTAGGTCAACCTAAACTGACCTCTTCCTCTGAAGTTTTGAGACTCTTTAGCTAATTGCTAAGGTGGGACAATGATCAAGTTATATCAAATTTTTCATGGCATGGAAAGGATTACCAACAAATTGCACCTTTAAAGTCCTTCATAGCATAGGTCCAGGCTACTTGAGGGAACACCTATCTTACTGTGATTGGTCCGTCCCACCCCTATTCCCACCCCACCTCCTGGAATCCAGGAGAAAGGCCGTCTCTGCTGTTGCTCCTGCCCTCTGGAACATCTCCCCCCCCCCCGTGTGAGGTCAGCCCCAACCCTCCTGGCCTTCCATAAGAGCCTAAAGACTTGGCTCCACCAGCTAGCTTGCAGCTCTAATGGGAGAGTATCACAGTGGAGATGGTTGATCGATTAACAACAGATCCCATCAACTGGACAACAGATTCTATCGCCATCCAGATACCATGACCTGAAAGACTAAGAATCTCCATAGACCTCAGATTCCATCCTGCTCCCTCCTCATCTTTAATTGGAACAAAAATAAGTTAAAACAGCCAAATGTTATGATACATATCTTTATCTATCTTACATGGTAATATGTGTATATATTACCTGAGCTTACAAGTATATAGATGGATGCGAGACTATTAGAAGCAATACGGTCAGCTGGGGCAGGTAGATTGGTAATGCACAAACTGCCAGTCTTATAAGCAGGCTTTCAAACCTCTGGCATTCCACTCTGACGATGTCGGCAGTTAGCTGATGAAAGCTAAGTTTATCAAACAGTTGTTAATTTATTAAACAGTTGTTTTTATATTTATCCTGGTGTTCAACTACTTTTCACACACAAACACACACACACACACACACACACACATATATATATATATATATATTACCCTGAGTATTTTTTTTTTTTTTATGTACCCTGTCGGCCCAAATATGGGAGGCTATGTCTGGCTGATGAGGTGTGTCTGGCTGATGAGAGCTAATTAACTTGAAATAGCTATTCCAGTCTCCCTTAATTCTTTGTTAGCAATCCAAAAATTTAAAACACACACACACATACACACACACACACACACACACACACGTTTTCTGAGGTTTTCGTGAGTGTTTGTATGTATGTGTGTGTGTGTGTGTGTATATATATATATAGTTAATAACACTAAAAATATGAACTCTGGGAATATTCATATCCAAAATAAAATGAACACCAAGGTATTGATTAAAACTATAAAAGTTTAATTTAAAAACGCCAAGCTTTCGCCGTCACCTGCCGGCATCATCAGGGCTGGACCGCCAGGGTGTGGGAGAGTCATTTTATAGGCAGGCCGGAGTCTGCATTCGGCTCCTCGATCTCGTCACCGGACCCAATTGGTTAAATTGTGCTCCAGTGGTTCGTTTCTTTCTGTCCTTCCTAGCTGCGTGTGTATCTTCATCTATCTTCTTTTCTTTGGATTCTAAGGCAGGTGGGCGTGCCCCTAAATGCAACAATAGGACGGAGGGGGACGTTGGATTTGTGTATCTTAGGTAAGCCGTAAAATCTGGCAAGAGCTGAATCGCCAGGGCGTACCCTTCTCAACACATCTTCCCCCATCCTCCTATTGCGTTTTAAGTCATCAAGAAGCTTATTAATACGATTCCTCAAAGTGGTGGAGGGGTCTTTACTCACTGTTTTATATGCAGCACTGTCATTGAGCAATTCCAGCGCCTTGTTAATATACACCACTTTGTCCATGACAACAGTTGCCCTCCCCTTATCAGCTGGGAGTATGACAATAGTGTCATCTTTCTTAAGTTGTATCAGGGCCTCTCTTTCACTCCCAGATAATGTTTGGTACCGTCTGTGATTCATAATGAGGCCCGTGACTTGTTGCCTGATATGATTCTTGGCCTCCTCCCCTGCTCCAATATGATGTAAAGCGGGTTCTAATGCTGCTACAAAGTTAAGGGCGCCCGCATCTGTGAGATTGTAACCCACATCTCGTTGTAATAGAGCAAGTTGTGACTGGGTTAAGATTTTAGAAGACAAATTGCATACCACTCTTCCCGACGGATGATTGTTGCTGGAGTTGCGTAGCCGGTTCTTTCTCCTTAAGAATGTCTCAGTCATATGTCGAGTTGTTTGTGTTGCAGCTTGTTGGATATGCTGATCCAGCATCCAGAAATGGTGGTTTGTTAACTCCATATTGCAAAAGTTCCGATGGTCTTGGATCCATGCTTTTAAATTTCTTATTTGCCTATGTTGGTCGTTAATTAGCGCATACAAAGTGCGCCGCTGGAATTGGCAAACTGCCTGCCGACATTCCAAGGAGTCAACCGTTGGTCTTCTTCGCAGCGAGTTTGGAACCAGGTTCTCCTTAATACAGCCGTGCAGAAATGCTAACTTGCAATAATCAGATGAAACGCGGCATGCAAGCCTCTCCCACTTCCTGACTCTGAGCAAAACTGCTCTATCGTATATATAGTTAATAACACTAAAAATATGAACCCTGGGAATATTCATATCCAAAATAAAATGAACACCAAGGTATTGATTAAAACTATAAAAGTTTAATTTAAAAACGCCAAGCTTTCGCCGTCACCTGCCGACATCATCAGGGCTGGACCGCCAGGGTGTGGGAGAGTCATTTTATAGGCAGGCCGGAGTCTGCACTCAGCTCCTTGATCTCGTCACCGGACCCAATTGGTTAAATTGTGCTCCGGTGGTTCGTTTCTTTCTGTCCTTTCTAGCTGCATGTGTATCTTCATCTACCTTCTTTTCTTTGGATTCTAAGGCAGGTGATGTAAACCCCTTATCTCTTCGATTGTCTCTATCCCTCAATCCATTCCCCCTTTCGGGTTCGAGTGGTAGTTTGCATTTGTCCTTTTCCTTTCTCCAATCACGCTTCACCCAGTCACTTTCTCTATGAGTATCTTTCTTTTCATCCTTAATGCCCCTCCCTCGTGCCCAACTGTCATTAGAATGGTCGTGCACAATGTTCCAGACTGGCTGGGGTGGCTCAATGGATTGTTTTTCTATGGGGGTGATCTCATGGTTATAATTATCTTTGGCCATCACACCCTTCCCTTCCTTTTTATCCTCTGTGCTCCCATCGCGTATACCACAATCCAAGGTCTTGATCTGGGGGGGGGTGGAGTTGCGATCTTCCTGAGCGTCACAACACTCCTTCCCTACTCTTCTCCTCATTCCGCCGCCTCTCGCTCCTGCGCGTGCACGACAGGAGTCTTTGGAGTCCATGGGTGTTGTCGGCACAAGACGCAGTGAGCTGATCTCATTAGCTCCGCCCTCTCACGCACCTCTCTGTCTAGACTCATTTTTCTCCTTACTTTCCAGAGCGTCCGCAAGCTTGCTGTCATGCTCGGTGTCACCCCGCACTCCATATTTTTTTGAGCCAGCTGACGATGCAGAGTGGGGGGATCGCTTCTTTCCCCTCAAATGAGTCATCCTGTTTCTTTCTGAGCGTCGGTGAGGTGTTAGGTCTAATGATCTCTCCCCATCTTTGTCTATCGTATCTCCTTGCACGCCAATTGGGATATCTCCGATGTTCGTGATGCAGGGGTTCTGAGCTTTAATTTCTATCGCTCTCTTAGTTTTTTGCAAGCGTGTTAACATTGCGGGGGTAGTGGGAATTCTCAATCGTTGTCCCTCCTCTTCTGAATTGCATCGAGTTGGTTGGGGGGTTGGCACATCCCCTATGGTTCTCTCACTGGATTTACTATCGGGCCAGTGGTAGCGAGATGGGTGGTTGGTCGCACTCCATGATCTAAGTGCTAAGTGTGCCGGACAGAGGTCAATATGCCGGTTGATAGAGCTGCCATTGGATAGCCATGCTTCCTTAAGCAGTCGGCCTCCCTTAGTACTGTCACTTGCCAAGACGTCTACTTCATTAAAATTAAAGCGGTGGCCCAATTCCGCCATATGAGTCCATATCTGGGAGTGCTGTTCGCCCCTTTTCACAGCTAGTCTGTGTTTGTGGACCCTGGTCTTCACTCGTTTGGAAGTCTCCCCAACATAGTTGCACGGACAGTCCATACATTCGATCTTATATATGGCTGCCGATCTCTCCATGTTGGGGAGCGGGTCCTTGGGGCGCATAATGGCTGCTCATAGCGTTTGGCTGGGTCTATGTGCTACCTGTATATTATATGGCGCCAAAATTCTCGCCGTAGCCTCTGATACATTGCAGATGTAGGGGAAGGTAATACATGTTGTCTGTGGTGTCAACTCATTAGGTGTGGGGTTACTTCGGGGTTCAGATGGTATACTAAACCGGTTGATGAATCTTGCCAGGTACCCATTGTGCTTACACACTTGGAAGAGGTGGTTTCTTTCCTCCCTCTTAGATTTGACAGTGCTGCAATGTGAATAGAGTCTTAACACAACTGACTTTATGGGCTATCGGATGGTTGCTCTCAAAATGGAGGATCCTATCTGTGCAAGTTGCTTTTCGGTATACCCTGGTGGTCAAAAATCCATCCAGTTGGCGTTGCACCAATACGTCTAGAAATGCTAGTGCGCCCTGATTTTCCTCTTCCATGGTGAACTGGATGTCCGGGTATACCGAATTC